AGACCCCAGGATACAAGTACAGAAGCAAGAAATGTCCCTAAATATAGTACAATATTTTATATTTACATTGTGTACCTCAGACCCCAGGATACAAGAACAGATGCAAGAAATGTACCTGTAAAGGCGAGACCAAGGATGATTATGGACTCCTTACTCTTTAGAAACTGCTTTAGCTTCTCCCTAGACAACAAAAGAACTTATTGAATAATAATACAAAGAAAGTGTTTAAAAAGAATGGGTAAGATGAATTATAATACAATTATAATGTAAAGAGAACTGTGAAATTATAATGGTGGATATAGAGGTCAATGCTTGATCCTCCTTTTTTAATCTCAAGACAAACCTAATCTTGTGCTTGTATCCTGAAAAGTGTATAAAATTCAACCAATCAGAGTGGCGTATCAGAAGCCGGGCAATGTGAAATTTTGCGTGCCATTTAATAAATGTTCTCTCATTTGATAAAGATTAATATACAGAGACGGGAGGGCCTATCTAATTTCAAAAACCCAATTTTCGATTTGTCTACTTTATCCAAAGACCAAAAAGATTAGATTAAGAAAGAAATTAAAAGTGTCCACAGTGGATATTCAGATTAAGCGATCGGTATTAAAGGTATCAAATTCTAAAGTTCCCAAGGCTATGCAATGTAAATTTTAAAAAAAAAATTTAAATCTATTAATTTACGGAATACGGATCTCTAAAATTGTTAGTTGTGTAGTATTTTCAATAAGAAGCCAAAAAAGCCAAAACTTTTGAATTTTTTAAAACTCATATTTAGACTTTATTTTTTCCTATCTGTAGGATTTAAAACCATGAAGATGATGATCTATTTGATGAATCCAGTATATGCAAATTCTAATGCAAACATCTATTTGGATATCCAGGCGGAAACAACAGCGCTTTGCTGTTTGCATCAAGAGCTTCTAAATGAACTCAAACCATTAAGGAGATGGGGGAACCCCTGAAAGGGGTGTTTCTTAAACATTATTTACATTCTCCAAAAAAAATAAAGTTTTACTGCTCAAAAATATCAAACCTTGTTATTGTTCACAATCTTTGTGATTGTAAACACTAAAAAA